GAGTTAGATCAGTAGATAAATAGGTGACGACCACAAGAAATTGGTCTTTACTTGGCAGGAAGTATCACTGTCATCATCTAAACCTTGTCCCAACTATACGGGGTTGGCTATTTACTTGGAAAGAAGTATAACCTTTATTATTGACTTGKCTGGTTTCTTATGATACATACAAAGCACTAAAGAACATATTTTGGAGTCAACCTTGGGGCACAACTTTTAGTTAATTAGAGGCAAAAGTAAACCAAATGTATATGTAGAAGAATACAACATTATTTTTTTAGGTTTCACGTGCAATCTCATTATTTCTTGTCTCCTGCAGGACTTCTGCTACTATGCCAATACACTTTTCTTGGTTATGCTTATTCTGTATCCAAGAAACGAAAAATTTTTCATGGTTTGCTTCTCATTTGCAGAGGTAGGTGCATGGTCATGGTTATTTTACTCTGCTTTGATGGCTGACATTGTGGCGTACTTTTTTCTTTGTTCGGGCTCTCTTAACCACCTGACTGGTGCTGCAGGGACCATTAGCATGGGCATTGATTGTTTGGCGCTGTAGCCTGGTTTTCAGTTCTCCTGATAAAATTGTCAGTGTGTTGATACATCTTTTACCTGGTGAGTTTTGGAATCATTCTTTCCAACAAAATTTATTACGATGTGATACTATCAGTACTGCAAAAGAGTTCTTTTGCTTACTTCTACTTATATTCAACCCTACAACTGTTGGTTTCACCCAAGGTTCCAAGTATCGATACACACCGATACACCATATGGGGCGTATTGGGATTTTTTGACCCCACACCTCCTTTTTTTGTTTTTTTCAAAACCGGTTCAGAGGGGGTCGGTTTAAGTGTTTTCTACCCCCTGAAACAGGTCAAAACACTAAAGCTTATGTATTTGGCGTATCAGTGAACCACTGGTATGATACGTATCGGCTGATATGGGCTGATATGTGACGAAATTTTGAACCTTGGTTCCATGAAGCTATCTTTCTGATCTAGTCCATGCAATTTAGTTCCTACAAGGCTTTACTTGGCGTTGTACCTTTCATATGGTGAACATAGTGGCTTATAGAAATATCCATCATTTTTCAGTCATTCACTTGGATGAGTCATAGCTTCCAGKATTTCTTTTCTTTGCCTACATGGTTATTGTGGCTTGATTATTACAATTTCTTTGAGCATTTTCCCTCAATATCTGTCCTTTTCACCAAATCACTGAGGATAAAAAAGATAAATGAAAGATGAGGCCAAAAAGAAAGGAAGATAAGAGAGATGAGTAAGCTGGATTAAGTTGAGACTAGCAACATCGAATTCATGTTCTACATACTTCAGGATTGGAACCTTCTCTCTGAACAATCTGGATTCAAGACCTGTTTGTAATTACCATTTCATGTTTGATGGAAGTCGTAGAAGTAAAGATGGCCATTGGGGTCCTGCAGGGATTGGAGGCTCCATCACTGACCTGTTATTGGGTGTTTAGTGGCCTATTGGTGAATTGGATGCCTCTGAAGCAGAAACTGGAGCGCTTTTAACTGGTCTGAGGCTGGTCAATTCCATCCATGCGTGGCCATTGCTTGTTGAAGGCAATTGTAGGAATTTAATTTGGGTGAGCTTCTAGCAGTGGCTGTGGGCCTTGTAGACTTACTTTTTGAATGAGATACAGGAAATTTCTGCAGGTCTTTCTTGCAACTATAGATGGCTTCTGAGGGATTTGAATTTCATGGCCGATTCTTTTTTTTTTTGTGCATCTCCCTTTAAATGAAAGGTATCCTTTTTTAAACAAAAAATTGAATTCATTCCCTCATTCTTCCTTTTAAACATCAACTTTTAATTAAATCAAAATACTGACAACCATTTGTATTTTGTTGAGAGTGTTATCTGCACATTGCAATAGCATGATTTTTATTTCTGCTGTTCTTTCCCCATTTATATCCCAAATTCTAGATCATCTTAATTACAGTGTATCTTTGTGTTTCTGATTATTGAATAAATCCTCATTGATGTTTATTTTATCTTATTCCATCCGTTGCAGTTCCTTTGCAAGCTAGAAGTAGTGTTGTAGGTTCTATTCCCTCTAAATCATTCAGTTTGTCCTTACCATGTATTTGTTTTGCTTTGGAGTGATGCCCTGCTCATACTACTCATTACATGTTATAGTCATATGGCCTTTGCCAGCTTAAATTCTTATTGTCTTGTTATAGGTATTGCCTCCTTCAAGGATTGATGTAATGGCGATTTTTTATCCCCTATGTTTCTCTTGTATGCAGATAACAATCTTTGTTCAATGAATAAATGAAAATTTTATAGTTGTCAAGCCCYGAAATGAAGAACTAAAACAAATAAGGTAGGACCTAAACTATGGAAAACACAAACCCCATATCCTGGAAAATCCCCGATATAGATATTTCCTCCCAATTACTCRTGCCTTTTCCATGGCATGTGTAGAGAAATAACTGATTTGGGGCAACTCTCAAGTCTTAACAAGATGTCCACTTTGGATGCCAAAGATCTAATACTGTAATAGAGACCAAGGGCCCCTAGAACTCTAAAGCATTCATCTAATGACAACCTGTGTACCAGACTCCACCTCAATGTGGTCATAACTTGAAGGCCAAAACGGCCTTTCTTTCCTCCTGGTTCCCATCTTTTCTTGTATGCTGATGACTTCAAAGTTTCCTCTTTTATTTTCGTAAAAGATGATCTTGTTTTTTTTTTTGTTATGGAAATGCAGCTATCACCCCTATAGGGGCAGTGTACTATATATGCTAGACCCAAGGTTCAAAGTATCGATACATATCGGGCCGTATCAGCCAGTATGTATCGTATCGGGGGCTTCCCGATATGCCCCTACAGGGGGTGTTTCAGGGTCTCGACCGGTTCCGAGGGTGGACCTTAAACCGGCCTTTCTGAACTAGATTCGAAAAAAAACTAAAATAAAAAAAAACGCTATCGATACTGCCCAATACGCCACTACCATTGTGCAGGTTGGATCCCTGCCTCTTCAAAGCAAGGGATGTTCAGTGGCCAATTCAATTATGGGATCATTGGCTGCTTTTGTTGAATCTTTCTTAGGTTGCTTATACYAAGGTTCAAAATATCGTTACATATCAGCCTGTATTGGCCGATACATATCGTATCAGGGCCTTCCCGTTACGCCCCTACAGGGGGTGTATCGGGTCAGGCCATGGTTCAGAGGGTAGCCGGGACTTAAACTGACCCCTCTGAACTGGTTTTGAAAAAAAAATAAAACACAACAAAAAGAGCACCAGCGTATCGACCYGTATCAATATTTAGAACCTTAGTTTATAGTGTAGGTCATATACCTAGAACCTTCATTTTTTGAGGCAATTTTTTGAATGGGCAAAGATTGGGGCTTAAACTTAGCAGTC